GTTTTAAATTCGAATTTGTTATTGCGTATTGGTTCGATTATAGAACGATTGTAAACGTTTCAGAAAATTGATCAAATTGAAAATAGTTCGTTTGATTTTCGGCAATTCTCTTCAGCGGTAGGTGTTATATAACAATTACTATGGTTATTGAAATATTGGATGTAAATGGGGTTTGCTTGCAAAACCTCCGCTGACGAAGTCGCGGGTAACAGCTAGTAATATATAAAAATACTCAAATGGAAAACTTCAAGTCAATATATTATCATATTTATTAAATAAATAATGAAATAAATAAGGAATGTATAAGATACTTTTCAATCAAATAAACCAAATCCCATATCATCATCAGATTCTTCAGATTCTTCCTTCTTTTCTTCCTTCTTAGCCCCATCTATAAGAATATTGTGTCAAATTTTTATTAAAGAAAATTTAAATATATCAATAGAAAAAGTTTAAGTAAATTAATTATGCTTTAACATAGGCATATAATGTAAATGTTAAAGCATATTTAATTTATTTAAACTTTTATTTATGTGAAATTTATTTAAATACAATATATTTTTATTATATCTCACAAAAAAAATCTAACTACATATGAAAAGATTTACAAATAAAATCATCATCATCACCACATTGTTAATTTATATCCTTTCATAAAAACTGGTGCCCACCATTGGCCAAGAGGTCTTTGTCCCCTGAACACTGGGAGTTCAGTTGTGGGTTCGCACCTTGTTCAGACAGGTTGGCCACGTGGAGTTTTCTGGGTTTCTCCATGTCTATAATGCCTAAATAGAGACCAGTTTCCCATAAAAAGACCTCCCAGAAGGCATTTCCCCTAGGTAGATCGCCCAAGTGTTGCATTGCCATAACTTAAACAAACAACAAAAACTGAAGTAGGCCTACATGTAAAGTTTTACATTCAGTAAGATAAAAATAAAATTAATAGCAGTAGTACTGGATTTAGTTTGTAGACATTCAATTTATAATATAAATTAATTTCTACAAATAACAATGTCTCCCTCATTAGTAGAGCAAGTGAAATTTTTAAATTAAATTTAGCAATTTAAAATATTCTGAAGAGAGAACCAACCTAAAGTTGGACTTAAACTTTAAACTTCTGCTTACTGTGTGGATGCATTATGAAGGTGAATAGTTTCAGGTTGAAACTATTACAAAGGAATAGTTCTGAACTACTAATATAGCTTTTCACAGAACAGTGAACTCTATCTGGATTTGTATTTGAACTAAATTAAAACATTCCACAAGTTTTTAAGAATAATCAAATTAGTTTAGAGTATTTTAAATTTATACAGATATTTTAAAAATTTATATTTTTATGAGCATTTGTAATTATTTGCTTTATTAGTAACTAGCAGGTATGTCAGGCATTGCCCAGCCAAAAAGTAGGAAGGCTAAACATTAAAATGAAAACCATATTACAAATTTTAGCCTACCATTGTTATGTTTATCATACAGTGTCAAGGAGATCAAATCAGAGGAAGAGTGGGGGGTGTCCAGGTTTCTTGGTAATATATCTATCCTCTATAATCTTCAGAGTCCCAGAGAATAAATATGAAAAATCTGATGCAGATTAGAGAAAGGGTTTAAAAATTAATAAGAGGGTTGACATCAGGAGAGAGGTAAGATCTTAAGTCCTATATTTTTCTCAGAGTCAAAGTTAAACAAAAATAATTTGAAGTAGATTGTTTCTCTGTTCTTAGTTTTTTAATCAAACATTCTATTATATATATATATATATAAAACTGACGAGGGATCATCTAACCTAATGGTTCTGTTGGAACAGTTCTTGGATCAGTTTCAACAGTTCCAGTTCCAGAAGCAGAACTGGATTTTCCATCTCTAATGCATTATCAGTTATGCTAGTAAGACCTCGTCTGATATTCACTTCAACTTTCAGGCTATATCTTAGCTAACAATTAACCAAGATATAGTCTAAAATACTCCAGACTTGTTTATTATATTAATGATATTTTAATTATTTTGGAAGATTATTATTGAAAAATTTTTCATAGGAAATAAAAATAATTTTGGATTTATTTTAAAACAAATGGATAATGAATAGCAAAGAAAACCTTAAGTATCCAGCAAAAATTTTAATGGTAACTAACGTTTTCAACCATATTTAGCAATTTTCATCAAATTCAAATCTCAATACAAAAAATGTAATAAAGTAAAACAAAATTACAAACCATAAAATAATAGTAATACTGCATGCAGACAACATACATTACATTCTATGTATTAACAATATCACATGCAAATGAAAAAAAATTTACAAACATAATATATGAGGCATTTTTTTTAACCTCCAATGGTCCATAAAAAATAAAAAAATAAAAAAAAGACAAGTGTAAATAACAATGAATTACTACCAAAGTTAGGTACAAACATGATTACTTTTTGACATAATCATCATAAAGATTGAGGCATTTGTCATATCTGAACGAGCTTCTCCATCCCCTCTTGATAGAATGTTGCCACCAGTGAATTGAGATGGCTTTAACAACATTGTTTTGAAGATCATCAATAGTCTCAAACCTCTGCCCTGCTGGCCACATTTTCAGTTCAAGAAAGAGGTGGAAGTCTTCACACAGTAAAAAGTTCCAACCTGAGTGGAAGTCTTCACCACCTTAAAAAGCCCAGCATATAGCCCTGATTTGGCACTGAGCGACTTCCACCTCTTTCCTGAACAGAAAAAGTGGCTAGGAGGCAGAGGTTCAAAACTAATGATGATCTAGTAAGACACCAACCGAATGCCGTAAATTAATCGGGCTATTTTAATGCTAAATTCTAAATAAATTACGTAAATTACGTAATTAATTTGGCACTAGAGGTAAGCATTAGGCGCCATCTAATGATGATCTTCAAAACAATGTTGTTAAAGCCATCTCAATTCACTGGTGGCAGCATTCTATCAAGAGGGAATGGAGAAGCTCGTCCAGATATGGACCGTTTATTTTGAAAGTGGTGTAAGTCCATTTTTGGAAAAAATTGAGAAAACACATAATATACATACAATTTAGTGTGAACTTTTTATTTATAAACAATTCACACTTAACATTTTAAAATAACCATAAGCTTTGATCAATTGAAAATTTATCGATAAATGACATTGCATAACCATTGATTTTGAAAGTGGTATAAGTCCATTTTCTACAGTCTAAGCACTTGGGCTATCCATAAATTACATGTGCATTTTTCTTGAAATGTTTACTTTTCCCTCTTGTCCCAGTTTGTCCAAGTTTTTGTAACCCCTTTCCCTCTATGGATGTCCAACATAACTCTATCCCTGTTAAAACCTTCATCACTTTATGAATGATAGATACCATAAGTAGAAATGAAACATACAAGAAACTTTGAAATAAATATAATAAAATGCATATTGTATAAAATTTAATGAAATAAATGGATGTCCACTAATACTCAACCCTCCTTGTCCAACTTGTCTTAACCCCTCCCTCCCTTTCAGTGTGGACATCATTTAAAGACAGCCCCTTACAACAGAAGAGTAAAACTGTAAATATTACCAACAAATGTACAATTTGATGGACTAGAAAAAAATCCATGTAATGAATCTAAATGAAAAGCAGTGTCTAATGGTAAGCTCATAATAATGATAAATTTATCATAAAATAGTTTAACAATAAGTAAATATTTTTAATGTTCAGAATAAACAATACTATTTTATTTCTTGTTATTATATATGAACAAAATCAGAATAAAACGCAATGTGTTTCAAGTGACATTGAGTTTTACATAATAGAAATTTAATGAATTTTACAGTTTAGTAATTATGAAAGTGGTGTAAGTCCATTTATGGCCCAGAAAGAATATATTAGTTTGGATAAATTCACATAGAAGTCTTTATGCAATCAACTTACATATTTCTAAAGTCATAGAAACATTGTCAAACTTAGTACACTTTGTTTATATTTTTGAATCAACTAAAATGCAAATGTTTAAATATCTCGAAAGAAGAAAAAATGGACTTACACCACTTTCAAAATAAACGGTCCATATGACAAATGCCTCAATCTTTATGATGATTATGTCAAAAAGTAACCATGTTTGCATCTAACTTTTGGTAATAAATTCATTTTGTTATTTATACTTGTCTTTTTTTTATGGACCATTGAAGGTTGAAAGAAAAAAACAGCCAATGTATATTACTGTATAAAAATAAAATGTGATATTAATAAAGATAAACCACAGATGCAGTTTCTAATGCTGGAGTTAGAAGTATTGCTTGCATCTTTAAAATTGATGTATTTGCCCTTCCTGTCCAATTTGTAAATTTCAAGTATTTCCAACCTTCTTCTATAAAATTGTTTTAATTATGGATAGAAAAGACATTGTAGTAAAATTTTTTTGGAATAATCTGTCAACAACAATAGTTCAATAATTAAATCATTATTGTTCAAGTAAATATCATTAAAATGTAAATTGGATATGACTTATTTAAATTTTATTTGTACAGTCTAATGAGGGCTGTAGCTAAAACATGTTATAATTTAAAGTAAAAAAAATGTTCTACAACTGACTAATTGTGACTTTTTCTGGCTGGATACATATTTTCAAAACCATAAATTTAGGTTTTCAAATTTTCATTTATGTTAATTTTGCTTATTAAGGAACAATATTCAAATGAAACATTAGAAAAAAATTATAGAAGTGTACAAGGGGGACCAAAAAAAAAAAACTGAACTGAGAGCGCACTGCCATTCGTAGATGTAGTAGAGAGTTCTCCCATTACATGGGGTTAGTAGAGACCTTTACGAAACAGCTGTGCAAACGGTGTCAGTTTGTAAGTTTATGTTTGAGCATAGTGTTGTGTTTCTCTTAGTGTTATTTTGTTCCGCCTGCGAAGTTCTGGATGTCCAATATCTCGAAACGATGAAAACATTGAAAAAATCCACCAAAATAGTGTTAAGACATCTGCAAGAGGATGTGCAAAGGAAATGCCTGGAACTTTGGCAAGCAGGTGACTGGTTCCTTCATCACAACAATGCCCCTGCACACACGGCCTTACGAGTGACCCACTATTTGGCCTCTCATGGATGGCCTGTTGTTCCCCACCCTCCGTATTCACCAGACCTAGCCCTGTGCGACTTTTTTCCATTTCCAAGAATGAAGAAAAATCTAAAAGGGAAGCGTTTTGATGATGTGGAGGCGATAAAAACAGCTTTGCTAAGGGCATTGGACAATATCAAGGTTGAAGAGCTCCAGAGATACTTCAAACAGTGGGGAAAAAGACTTCACAAGTGCATCACATCTAATGGAGAGTACTTTGAAGGTGACTGAAGAAATTTTGTAAAAAAGTTAATAAATAAAGTTTTTATACAAAAAATCCGGTTATTTTTGGTTCCCCCCNAAATGCAGCTCTTGCTGAAAGTATTAATTTCTGCTTTTTATTATTATTTTTACAATTTTATTTCCACAATTTTGTGAAAATATGTTTATTAAAAAAATTCAATATTTGTTTTATATTATATAATAAAATCATGGAACAGAACTGCAGTACAGAATAAAAAAGCACAAAACTGTGGCTCCCATGCATTTTGCAAAACCTACATTTCGGCTCCCACTGAACTTTTGCTTGCCCACCCCTGTAATATATATTCAAGAACAAGGAAATAACCAAAGTTATTAAATTGTTGGATGAGCAAAGTTATTAGATTGCTTACATTAGTAAAAACCTAAAAATTGCAGGGAAGAATTGCAAAGATATTAGAACTTAAAAGAACTTTAATTATGGCCCAAACAATGCTAATTAAACAGAAATGCAGTTAAATCAAATCTAAAATAATCAAAATGGTTAAAAAAATTAAGCATTCAGACATTGCAGAGGAAACATCCATTCAAGCATTTTGGGACAGCCAATAATAAAGATGTGATCAGATTGTCTACTGCCTGGAAATGTAACACAAAGGAATAGAAGATAAATTTCTCACCAGAGAACAATCAAATTTGATGTTTGTATTAATCCTATTTACTTCAAGAAATATCTTTGAATACTAATTAAAATGCTTTAATTGAAATTTTGTTTTGAATTAGAATTTATTATTATTTAATACTTAAATATGTTGTATAAAACATTTTTCCATTAAGTCCTATCAGTTTTGTACATACAGAATACAAACAAGTTACTTAAATTTTTCAAAAGCTGTGTATCTTGTAACTAACTAAATGTTCAAAAATTTTAAGTTTAAAATAATTTTAAACTTGTTAGATCTAAAATTGAAAAATAATGATTAAAAATGTCAACAACATTAATTCATATAAATAAAACCAATTTTAAGCTAAACTTATACGTGTCAATGCCATCATTATCATCACAATATCAGATGTGTTCTCCATACTCATAGGACTATTTGTCCCCAACAATCAATGTCAATGTTATGAAATCATTCATGACATAGATCTAAAGAAAAATGAACATTACATTTATTCCTCAGCAAACTATTGCTCATAAGAATTCTGTTTATAAAATTGGCAAAAATCAGAAATGACTATCTTTTGCTTTCAGTTCTCACCTCATAAGTTCTTTCATTGACAAAGAATTAATTAAGCAAAAATATATCTTTTATGTATACAGATTTTATGATTTCAAAAATTCAATAACATATAACTGCAAAAGTTGGAAGAGGTGAAAACTAACATATCAAGCCTCTTTCAATTCTACCAAAAATAGAAATTTAATTGACTTAATAAATATTTTTGACCACATTAAACAATCATCAGGTTAAATGATAAATAGTCTGTGAGACTGTACAACAATATAAATGTAACAGATATAGCACAACAATGGTTAAGAGTTAATACAATTAAAATAATAATAAATAAAAATATTTATTCATTAACTACTTTAAACATCTAATATTAATTCTGTGATTTTAACTGACATTATTATTAAAAAGATATAGGAATTGTTCTACTCTCAGCACCGGGGTGAAATCAACATTGCACTATCTGGAACCTGTGACCGGCGCTTGTCAACAGCGATATATGGTATATACGCATCGAGTGCTGGTCACAGGTTCCAGATAGTGCAACGTTGATTAAAAAAAATAGTTAACTTATTTTTAAACTTAATATACCTTTAGCTGGAGATGAAGGAAGTTCTGCTGTTGAAGTTGTAGTCAAAACATCACCAACTGCAGTTGCAGCAGCAGCACCTCCAGATGGCATTGAAGCTAATTTTGATTTACCTAGAAATATGTTGATATTTTATGAGTAAAATTCTTATAATTAATACAATCTACACACATACAGACCATGTTAAACTGTCAGCTCTTATTTATGGGCTATTCTTAAAGTTATAATTTTTAATAATTATACAATTTTATATTATAGTTTGTTTTTTCTTTGTTTCTATATTTATAGACCATATATACAGATACACATACAAAATGGTAAGTGAAAGTTGAATTCAGTTGAAATCTATGAAGGTCCTATGAACAGATTTTGGTTAGATTAGTGTGATAAGTTAGTCTATATTGTTATAATATAATTCTGAATTATATCTACATCTGTTAGTAAAGATCAGAGATCTCAATAATTAACTGATAATATTCATAATACATACCAAGTTTGCACAGGTTATAGGTTCAAATTTTATTCCAGATCAATCTTTTTCTTTCAGACACTTCTAAATTATTTAATTAAAAATGAATTCTAAGCATTAAATTCATCAAAAGATGCCAACATCACCTATTCTTAGTACAGTGGAACCTCACTTAATGAGCATAATTCATTTCAGAATTGTACTCGTAATGTGAAACACTCATTAAGCAAAGCAATTTTTCCCATAGAAATTAAAGTAAAATACGATAATGTGATATTTTTTCCATGTTGAAAAAAATACTCAAATATTTTATGTATAACGTTTATTCAAAGAAAATTGTACAATGTGTATTGTTAAGGAGCGTGAATCATCATCATCTTTTCTAGCATGGAATGAACCAAGCTGGAATAAGAATTCAATTTGCAGAAAAAACAAAAAACACAGATAATATGTTTGATAAACACTCCAAACTATATGCTAAATTCTTGGGCTATGTAAAGGCTATAATTAAATAATAGAAAATAATTAACTTGACTAGAGGTAGGCAGTTATGCTTCCATCTCGTATTAAATTTAATGATTATAAATAGTTAATTTTTAATTCAGACATTTCTAATATTTAATTTGGAATTGGTCATAAAATTTAATATGAATGGCAGCGTAACTGCCTATGTCTAGTCAAACTAATTAATTTCTAATATTTAATTATAGCCTTTACATAGCCCAAGGATTTGGGATATCGTTTGGGGTGTTTGTTATATAACAGGCTATGGTTGTTGATATTTAAAAGTAATATGTGTGAACACAAGTTTGGAAAAATGTGCATCTTGCTAGAAGAATGAGTGCTAAACACAGATTGATGGAGCATGCGGACAATTTGGGACTTTTCTTCTCATCACTCATTATGCAAAACATCACTCGTTAAGCAAGGCAATTTTTTACAATTTGTTTTACATTATGTGAGGTGCTTGTTAAGTGAGGTTCCACTATACAAGATATTATATTACTACTAATTAAAAATGACAAATGAATCTACTGAATTAACATATTGTGATAACATAATATGATTATACCCTATGTATATATGATATTTCTACAACAAATAATTATGAAAGATTTAATTCTTGACAATGTAAAAAAAGTAACAAATTTGATAATCATATTAAGCATCTATAACTAATCAGACATTTTATACTTATTAATTTTAATTCCTAATAAATATTACATCATAATTCATTCAAAGACAAATTATTCAGTAGATAAACTTTTACATATATTTCAGATGATTTACATCTTAAGCCTTAAAGTTATATAAACAAAGTTATATAAAATATAAACAATTTAAATTAAAAAAAAAATAAATTATATATGTTTTTTTTTCTATTGAATCAAAAATAATATATATTCATCATATGTTTGTAAATCATATGACATATTTCTATTTCAATTACTTAAATTAGCAATCCATAGCAATTTAGAAGCTTACCTGCAGATTGTACCAGTTCACAGGCAAGTTTCTAGGAAGATCTTTAGCATAAGATACACATTAACTATACTCATTTCTTAGAACTTATTTTATTATTGATATTATTTTCTATATTACACTCTTCCTGCTATTGATAAATCTTTCTTTATATAGCACAAAAGTTATGAATATAAATATGCCGTATTATTATCTAATTCATTTATGCTACTATAAATAAACATATCAGTCGGTGATACTATAAGGAAAAAAGCTGATCTGCCATTTAATTTTCTTTTTATTTGTAAGAATAAAATTTAAAAAAACCGATCCTCAAAAACTATAATACTGACATTCACAATTTATTCTAATATGAAGTGACCAGATTCTCAAATTAGACAAGACAGTCCTTACATTATAATTTTCTGTCCCCATTTTAAAACTATCCCAAAAAATGTCTTTGGCCTGTTGTATAATAATACTCAAATACAGCCAATATGCATTGCATAAATTATAAGTCAAAGTTGAATCATATACAAATTATAGAATAAAAATTTTAATATCCAATTTATAGAAACAGTAGCCCAATTGGCAATTTAATATCCAGTCTGGTAATCATATTTGTTTGAGAACAGTGAATGTATAAAACATGCAAGAACCACAGTCATGCAGATCACTTCTAACAGGGAGTTAATGGTTTTTGCTAATTATCTGAGTAAAAAAAGTTTGGCTTGCACAACTTTCTTGGCACTCACACAAAAGGTTAAAGGGAGTTAAAGAAGGAAGTTTGATAATTTTCAATTATATGACAACAAAAAATAAAAATAATAAAAGCTTGAAAAGAGTAATTTTCTTGATTATGATAAATCTATTTTTCAAAAAGAATATCTTTCTAAAAAATAGTATTTTTCAACTTAATGAAAAACTTTTCTAAGAGTTCAGCCCAAAGTTAAAACTGTGTGGGGCACCATCTGTTATGATATTTTATTAGAAAACTAGCAAATGAGCTCCTTATTGCTCAGGCAAACGATTTGGATGATTTGGTAAATATTGTACATTTAGAAATTAAGTTATTACTATCAGAAACAAAAAATCGCATCTAAAATAGTACAATAGTAACCATTCTTCAGGTAAAGCCTTATTCCTTTCTCTCCCCCCATCGAGAGAATTTCGAAAAACCCCTTCTTAGCGTGCATGCATTTTCATGACGTATGCCATGTACCAAATTTTACCTGTTTAGGTTCAGTGGTTTGCTCTGGGCAATGATGAATCAATAAGTCAGCAGTCAGTTTTTAAAAAAACTAAATTCCAATAATGGGTAAAATTTTCATAAAGTCTAACTCCATACAAGATATGATATATATGATCCTGTCTTTCTTCCCATCCCTTGACCTTTAACCCTCAAAATTTAATAGCACTGATGCCATATATAGAAATAACCCTGTCAAGTTTTCGTTCATCCAGTCCTGAGATATAATTCAAAATAAATGCCAACACATACACATGTTCCTGTGGTTGCAAAAAGACTTAAAAGTACGGAGCTGTACCTTTTCCTCCAAATTTAATACGTTCGCAGCGTCAGTAGATAAACATTTAGGCAGCTGCTGGGTGTTATGAGTCACCCGTGACTCGTAGTCTATTTTAATACAGGGCAGCATGAGTCATGCCTTGTACTATTAAATTAATATATTTTATTGCACCTAATAAAATAATATCAATATATCAAGTATGATGTTTGTAGAATTATGTTAACAAAACATATGTGCCGCCCCAAGGAAAAAACAAGCAATTATGTCTGTTGCCCTAACTAGACATGTCCATATGAGTCACATGTGCCTCGTAACACCATGAACATGTTAATACCTAGACTTCAACAAATAGATCAAGCTATAATCAAAAACCTTAAATTCCATTATCATAAGAATTTTAATGATGATGATTAATGAAGATGAAAACAGTACATTTTCTCAAAATTAATTTAAGAAAATGCATTTCTGAGCTATCAAAAAATGTAGACTGACAAAGTGACTGAAATCACTATAAAAATTTTTTTCAAAAGTCGGATTTAATGAAACTCTGGTGAATGGGTTTAAGCTGATGAATTGCCACTTTTGGATTTACAAAAATAATTGGATGCATTATGACAATTCAATAACATTACCACCAATATTAAGCTGGACGATTATCTCAACATAAAGAAAGCAACATTACCACCAAGTATCTTACTGATAAAGAAATTTCAGAAATTTTAAAAAGTAACCAAAGTGACCAAACAATTTAAGACAAGGATGATGATGATAGTGAGAAACCCATAAAAAACCTAACAAATGCCAAAATGATAAAAGCATTTAAAATTATTCATAATAGACTGCAACATTACAAAAATGTGCCCTGAAACATTTTCAATGCTCTTAATAAATTTGAAGCATGTTATGAAGAGAACATTTTAAAAATGTTTTGTGCATTAAAAAATTACAACTTTTTTTTTTTAATGAAAATATAGTTTAAGGTTTAACTCAAGCAGTCATTTTAGTTTGATATAAGTAATTGCTAATATGGCAGACATCCCACCTGAATTCAATTTCTTGCCAAACTCTAAACATAATGTTAATGATGCTTATATATACTTTGATAACTGTGATGATTTCAGTTTTGAACTCAGTGAGATTTGCAAGCAAGAGTAGAATAAACATCAAATCTTTAATGAAACACTAGAAGAAAAAATAAAGTGGTGTCAATTCTGAGAATAAGATGGCCTTACTATCAGCCATAATTGGCCAATCCACCAACCTGGCAAACGTTTATTGAGGAAATCTGACATTTGTATGTGAGCCATCTTGCTGAAAATTCCTATGTTCTTCGTTGTCATTGTCATTTAACTGTAAATGAGAACATTTTCCAGCATATCCAGATATACAATATAGGTTTATCATCACTAATCCAGCACTAATTTTGGCTAGAGTAATTTCAAATTTTTTGGGTCACTGTACCAACTTACCACTACTGTTCAGTGGCCAGGTATATGATTATCTTTTTTGTACAATAATATCACATAAAGCATGATATACAATAGTACTTGTATAATAATGACAAAATATATGATAATTTGACAAGGTGTAAATTTGTCAATACTTTTAATAATGTTTTCATATTTTTAATCATTTATTCAATAGAACATCTCCAAATACATCATCAGAATAATAAATATAGGAATTAATTTATCACCTGTATGAAATAAAAAAATCTGCACTGATAACATGACAACAATGTTGATTGTTGGCAGGCCAGTCATTCAGAGAGACAGCCAGATGGCAGTGATTATGGTGTCAGCTTGTGTTTTGGTAAGCCCAGGAACAATCTGAATAGGCTTAAAACCTAAAGGATTTTCCATATGGTGGTGTGTCCCATCCTGGATATGTGGGCCTGGCTGAACTCTTGATGAGCTTGATAAAAGACCTTCTTAGTGCCAATAGGACAAAAAGGTAAGATAAAAAAAAATAATCTATTTAGATTTTCCACATTAAATGTGATCATGCAGAAAAATGCTTATTAAATCTTCTTACTTGTAACCAATTAACCAGAGCAACATTCATTTTTTAAAAATTAAAACGTTTTTGATGCCCTCTTCAAAAATGGGCACTTCTTCAGGCATTTATTACATATTCAACCCGGTTTGTTAGAAAGTTAAACAAATGCTTATTAATCCATAATTAAGTTAAAAGGTTTTATCACTTGTTTATTATGTGAAATATATCTTTAATGCAGAATCGAAAATATGCTGAAAACAAAATTACATTTGACAATTTTAATGAAAGAGAATAATTTCAAGTATCTTAATTTTGTTTGGTTTTATATTTTGTTTTAATGATAAACGTGTTTCTTTGTTTTATTAATAAGAATTTTTACAGATTTTGTATTTTCCTATAAATTCAAATAAAAATTATATTATAAAAATGTATATCATAAAATAAGATAATTTTTAAATTTATGTACAATAAACAGTCTTTTCCAATCTTGCAATGCTGATAGCACTATTTGCTGCTTAAACACTGTTGACATCACTTGCAAGAGTTTAAAACATCCACAGGCAACTGTGGAACATGTTATTTTTCAATAACATGTTCCACAGTTGCCTGTGGATTTTTCCGACCACCAAATCCTGCAAGTTGTAGGTGTTCACTTTACCATAGACACGGTAAAATGAAATGTGAACTCATCACTGAAGATAGTGTTCCAAGAATGTCTCATCTTCTTCAATCTAATGCAATATTTCTGCACTATGTGATGTATTTTGCTATAAATTAACATCTAACTGATTCTGTAAGTCTTGTGATTAAAATTTTATATACTTTAAAGTTATAAAGTTATTTTTGAATCATCCTGTAAAAAACATTATTAGAGATTTAAAATATAAAAAAGCAAATTATTTCATATAACATTATACATTAATATTCAATAGTATTAACATACTTCAAACGAAAATATTTATTTAAACTAAAATCTTCTCATTTGAATAGTTATGATTTTGCAAAACTTTGATATTCTCATATTCATAAATAAATATATGTGATAATTCTAATATTTAAAACTTATTTTCACTTACCTAATTCTATAACTTCATTTATGTCTCTACCATTTAATTCCTGAATTACTTTTTTGACTCTTTCATTATCTACTTCAATTCCAACACTGCTTAAAATTTTCTCAATATCATAAGCTGAGGGAGTTTTATTACCACCAAGGGTTGCAAGTAGATAAGCCGCAACGTAACGCATACTGAAAAATTTATTTTAAGCTTAAATATATTTATAAAATAAACTGAATTTTTAAAAAATAATGGTTACAAATGAAACTTTTAAAGCAAATTTTAACCATGTAAAATATAATTAATATTGCACTTTATACAAACTATTAAAACATATCACCAAATGATTGCTTGAATAATCAGACTATAACTCTGCTAATTAATAATTAATATTAAGTAATTTGCTACTAGAGGTAGATGTTAGGTGCCTACTCTTAATTATCTATAACAAATGATTAAGTGGTATTTTCGAAAAGATCAGACAGCAATCTGATGTCCAAATTGTGTACAGGAGATCTCCAACTTCTTTTCATTACTTAGAAATGACAAGGACTCTCCTGATTAAAAGTTACTGCTAGGAGTATACACAATTTCTTTGCATGACCACAGGGTTGATCAACAATACAAATACATAGGTGCTATCTTTAAATCCCTTAAGACAAGGCTCAAGGAACACTAGCACTCAAATACTAAAAAAACAGGGGGTACTGCCTTGATCACCTATGCATTGGATGAAGACGAAGAAGTTTATTTTGATATACTCACCTACTGCATCAAAACGCATTACCATTATGTCTAAAATATCTCAAGACTGTTGAGATATACAATGCTATCACTAGAGGAACAGCTATCAACAACAGACACACAACACCTATGTCACATGCCTGCAAGCAGTATTTGAGTGCATTTAGTAACTATATAATATTTTATAAACTGTTTGGTCTTAGTACATCTATTGTTATTTAAGATTTTTTATCATCTACAGTTATTTAAAAGTTTTATATATGTTATATTTGTTCTTTTGTATTCATTTTAATTTATAATATATTACTGTGTTCATGCACATGCAAATTTCTTATGCAACAAAATTTTTTAAATTTGTTATTTGATTTTCATTCTAACAGTAGAATCTAATGATGGCCTTTTTCTAGGTTAAAACGTTTGTTTTTCAATAAATGTTTTTGTTCTTTTAAATGGATATTTTAACTGGTTTATTAGTGTTCTTATATTGCATACATCCGGTTTGAGGTAGTGTTTCCACTTTAAGTAAAACAATATTCCATATAAAAAAGAATAACCAGAATCTACATATACTATGTATTAGAGCTAAAGTTGCTTTTCTTTTTGGCATTTTTAATGTTTACAATGAAAACAATAGAAATTTTAACTTATAATTTAATGTAATGATAATGTTAGAAATATGTTTAACAGAACAGACTCAGCAAATAATTAATAGATTATCACATCACACTTAATGTTGCCAAGATATTTATTGAAAACGTTAGTTTGTTTTCAATAAATATCTCAGCAACATTAGGTGCAATGTGATAATCTGTTAGAAATATGTTTCAATAGTATTATGGGTGAAAATCGGATGGGTGGTAGCACTAGTCATTATATTATATTTGAAATTTTCTAGTTTAGCAAGCAAGAATTTAATTAAATTGAAAAATTGTTTATTTTAACATGAACTGATGCATCTTATGACTCGATTTATATTTTAATTGTTCTTTTTCTGTTGTCATATCCTCAATAAACAGTAGTAACAACTCTGGGCTATATTTTCCTATCTTTAGCCATTCTGAACAATTGAGCAGTTGTTATTCTAGTATCTTTCCTTAGAATTTGTAACAATGTCTTTTGGACATCTGTCTTCTTTTTCCTGACATGATTTAATAAAACTCACTATACAGAGAAAGATATTTTATCTTTCATTACATGTTAAAAATATGCTAGCATTTTATTCTTTGACTTACAATTTCTGATTCAGACATATTTAGTAAAAAATTAAACAGTTTTTACACTAAAATATTCTTAGCATATATTAACAGTACTATAGTTCAAATACAGGTAGGCCTCCTACAACATGGTAGATACGTTCCTTGAAAATACCGCGTTGTGGGAAATCGCGTTATAGGAGACACCAACTTAATACAAAAACTGGGATTCNTAGTATCAAAAACGTAAAATATTTGAGTAGCCCAAGACATAGCCAAAGATTGAAGCGCCACAGCACTGGCGAAAATTTAAATTTTCCGACTGGAATTCTTTCGGATGATTGACTTTCGGAAAATCAACGCTCTACTGTATTTATATTTAATTTAGGCATTGTCTTTCTCTTTTAATAATCTTTTTTTTTTTTTTTTTTCATTATAGGTGCTCTCGAATGAGCAACATTTTTCACAAGAATAGATGATCCGGATGCGACCGAATTCCTAATCTTTTCTTCCTATTGCTTAATCGATCGAATAGTTGACTCATTCAAATTAAAATGCCTACCAATATCAGCTATCCGCTCTTGATTTTTAATTCGATCCAAAATTTCTATCTTTGTTTGAAGAGATATAAATTTCCTTTTTAACGACGGTCCTTTCTTTTCATTCGACATTGTTATGGCTAAAATTTTTTCAAGTAGTTTTGTGGACAGTAAAAATCTAAAAAAATAACTTCCCTTTACTATGTTGTTAAAAATATATACCCAATAGAAGTTTATACTGTATTTTGGACCACTTTTGCGGTCCCCACCTATTGAAAGAGTATAAATTATCGAAAATTCAGTGATATATTTGAGTGTTTATGGTAACTGATACACATCTGTCTAGAAACCGGTCTTCCCCTGAAACTTTCAAGGGAATAACACGTCAACGTGGACAAACAGCTGTTTTCGAGGACATTTAGCTCTGTACACCAAACTGCAGCACGTATTACATGATCTGTTGCGATTTTTCTGTTATGTGAAAGATAATTTGTTTCTAAATACCGTAAACCGCGTTGTAGGAGGCCTACCTGTACTGTATTTACTCACATATAAGACAAGATTTTTATTCATTTTTCACTGCTTCAAAAATCTAAGTTGTCCTATATGCGCAAGCGAAGGATTCTTTGCGTTTTTTCAATAATTTTTGTGAACCATGTATTTGCATTTTTTATTGGATGCTCATCCTTGTGTTTAAAAACAAAAGTATTTATCTGAGTCATTTCAATCGTTCTTGTGTAATGTCAGGAGTAAAGATGAATAGCAATCAGAAAAGCAAAGCTTTTATATCAAATCCCAAATTGAAATTCAAAAATCACACAGACATGGAAGCCTGATATAAGTTTTAATCCATTCCATGTGAAAACCGATGATTATTCAGAAATCAGAATTTGGAGAAACTCATAAGTGTAATCGATGTAGAGTGGATTTGACTGTTAAGAATTGGCAAAAAAGTTCCCAATTGTCCAGCTTTATGTGAACAAATAGTGTTATCGATTTTACAAGATTTTTCTTTAAAGTTTAAAATGCCAGTAATTTTTGCAGGACAATGTGTGCATTTACATGCATTTGATATTTTATTTTTGATTAAACAAAATAAAATTAGAATTGTATTAATAAATCTAATTTTCTTTATTTTGATCTTTAAGTCACACCTCATCCTGTATGCAAAGTTCTTATATGAGAGTAAATACAGTAATTCCAAATGCCTAAACACAGATTTTAAGTATCTAAGCTTTTATCCAATAAGAAAATAAAAGATAAATAAACTGTACGACTCATGCTTATGGAGTGTACAATTGTTTGAAATAAGTCAAAGGCAATGGTAAAAACTACTGAACTAACTTTAATTATAACAATTAATTATGTACAATGATTAGGCAGCCATCTTTCTCCTTCGTCTTGTAAAAAACAACTAGTGCCCCTGCTTTTTTTTTTTCTCACCTCCTCGTGGGATTTTTCTATAAAAACTTCTTACACAAACATAATAACTTTTAAGAGTACATGCATAATTGGACATTCAAACTAATGCTTCTCAGATGATTAAAAGCTGCTCCTGCCAATTTAATGCAGAACTTCATTTTATGAAAAGAAGCCCATCTTTCATTCAATCTACATATCCTAAATATAACATTGAGCAAATACTCTGCAGTGGATTCAGTCATTAATATAAATGTTATAACTAAATTAGAAGTAGCCAAATGAGATTGCATCCTTATCTAAATTTTGAAATACCAATGTATAGAACTTAACATAGGTCAACCCACAAGAACCTTATTATATCCCAGTGTAGACAAATTTTAATTAAAACTAACATTTTCAACCATAATCATGGTCTTCCTCAGGCTTTTGACCAGTAAAAATTTGAATATGGAACGCATCAAACAATATGGTCGAAAACGTTAGTTTTAATTAAAATTTGTCGATACTGGGATATAGTATGGTTCTCGTGGGTTGATTATCCTTACCAGTGATTCTGAGAGAAGTTGTTTTACTTAACATAGGTCACTGTATTGATAGATTACTGATTAAAATTTATAAGATTATTGATTTATTGTATAAGTATAAAAATCTTACATAAATTTTACAGAATGTAATCAAAAATACATTATCCCATATAACTCATTTTATCAAAATTTAATTTATTTGTTATTTGCAACTTTAAATAACTTGAAGCTTATATGACAAATCTAGGCTTAAAATGTTTTTAAATTGACTAAAATAGGATAAAAACTGAGAAAAATCTCATACTTAATGATTGACTCTCTGCTTGATAAAAAATTATATTCATGGATTTAAAGACTTTACTTCAAGGAAGTAATGAATTTTTATATTTTATATCAAATATTAAATATTTAAACTGAAGTCTCCTTAACAATAAATAATTTGTTCATTTTTAATAAAAAAGTATTTTCAGAAACAATTTAAACATAATAAAATAGTCACGATTAACCTTTTATCAACTGAACCCTTTTGAATTTTTTGATCATTTAAAGCTTCCCCTAATTTTTTACTTTACTGTACTGTTATAATTTCCATAAACATGTTGAACCAATGCATATTTATCTAAATACATATCTCATCTATCATGAATACCTATCAAATGTAGATGTATTTTCTGATTTCTTAGTGGTTTGCAGATGAAAAAAAAAAAAAAAAAAAAGATCAATATGGACAGCACTAGGGTGGGACCTGGGTGGGTTCCAGTTCACCCTAAAATCTCCTTGCCCAATCATCTGCCCACCTAGAAATAATTTATTCAAATCTACCTATACTGATTATTATTGGATTTTTTTAAAAATATGAATTGATTGCTTGCCATATACACTCTCTCACTAAAAGCTTTTTTCTGTTTATATGTCTTTCTGAAAATAAATCACTAAATTTTAAAAATTAATTTGATAAAAGGTGCAGATAACACCTGCTCCACTAAAAAAATGGTCTGCTTCACAAACACCCTCTAAGAATGAAAATCCTAGCACTGTTATGGACAATCAAAACTAATGTATTTTTATTTATACAAGAGTAATTTAGATAAAGATGATATTTAAATATTGGTAAAAAAAAACAAACAATAACATTAAATTATTAAAAACAAACTTAAAATTGAAAACAAAAAATTCAAAAGAAATGAGATAAGGAGAATAATGAAGTATAAACAGTAAATAACAGCAAAGTAAAACGATAAATACAGAGGTTTATAAATATATTAAAAATTTCTTATTCAAATTAAAAAATTCAAAGATGAAACATATATTTAACAATAATAGCAAACTTTACTTGCATAAATAAAGAGTAACATCCAAAACCAGCACAAATTAACTCAAAATTGTAATTTTACTAACATTTTTGTCTATTTGTAACAGACATCTTCAGGTAAAATACATAGAAAGTAAACAAAAACTAATAGCAGAACTAAAACATAATAGACTAAATACAAAAAAGTTATTTGTATTTAGTCTTCAATTTGTATCTTCTTGAATCCTTTCAAACTGTAGGAACACAGTTAATTAACACTGGCAGAGTCAACCTTTCCTTTGATGCTGTTCCCTGCCTACAATTATATAAATTAATTAACTTTGCCAGTTCTTATGTTCAAGTGTTTATAATTGCTAACTTCCATACAAAAATCCCAACAAAGGGTGTATTTGTATGCCACCATTTATTGGGAGTTTTGTATGGATGAGGCCCTTATTTTCAGGTAGTACCAAAATTTGCTTTAAGCAATAAAAAATATACATACATCAGTAATAAAAGACTTAACATAAAAACTTTTAATGTAAATTCTTAGGCTGTAGTTTAACTGTCATTAGATTTTGTTGTCACTACTACCTATTGAAAAAATTGAATTGTGTATTTATCCCCCTCTCAATTATCATCAGCTCCTTTAAATTGATATTGACTGATATAAACTGTTAAATAGATAACATCGATAATATATGTCACACTATCTATTTGATATACTGTATAGTTAGAACATTTTCCATTATCAAAAGAAAGCCCATTTACATTTTGATGAGTAAAGTTTTATATATTAAACACATTGAAAATGTACATGAAAATACAGTAAACTAAATACATTTTGAAAAATAAAGTTAATGCTTACAATTACAAATTTAGTTGATTAATAATGAAACAATTCATTTTCATTTTTTCTTCTACTACGATTGTTTAAAAAAAAAATCAATCAGAACATGTTTAACGAAACAAAATAACTGAAAACAAAAAGACAAATGTAAGATGATTAAATGTAAGAAATTTGCCCTTGTTATGACATTTTCTCAGCAAAGTAACAATTTGTTTTGCAGTAAAGCAGACTGTTCTTTTTTTGATTTACAATATAAAATAGTTGGCTTGATATTTAGATACCCTATACAATTATTGATTTTCCTATGATAAAGACAATTCATTATACATTTCACTAAATATTTCTGCTGTTTAGCATAATTTTTCCTAATTCCTTTTTTTAAATGTAGCTTTTTTTTAATCTAAATTTTAATTTTTTTTTATAAAATGTAAATGTTTCAATTTCAACAGATGGATCAAACACAAATTAACAGAATCATCATACCGTAACTAAAATTTCAGCATCTTTTTAACGTAAGACTAAAATATTAATTTTATTATAATTATTTTAACTTATATTCCACTCAACAACAATCTTCACAGATTTCCATTATTGTATCTTATAGAGCATATCAAAACCATCATAACACGTAACACACTACTCTAACACATTCCCATTCTTTTATCACACTCTATTAACTCTTTAAATGGTGTATTCATATGCAAAGCCAATTAGATATACTTGAGATGTTAAAAAAGTATTAATTAATTACGAAAAATAAAAATACATATTATCTACATGTACGATGATTCGACAATCTTAGTCTGAATGATTCTATCAAATGTTCGTAATTATTTTCGGTACATTATTAATACTAACTTTATTTTTTTCCTGAAGCAAATCACCGCCAATAACCACCTGTTCTTTCGCACCAAATGTACTCGTTATGGTTGCTTGACAGGACGCCATCTAGTAGTGGATGGAATATATTATTTTGGCTTGTGACTCAAAATATTACACACAAAACTCGCCATATAATGTTCGTTTTATTATTAAAAATATTTTTAATAATAAAAATAATTTAAGAAAGCTAATAAAAAAAATAAATAAATACTTAAATACCTTTTCATAAATAAACGTATACACCTTCCCTCTTTTTACGAGGTCTATTTTTTTTTACATCGGAAAAAATAATTTATTTTAAAATTTTAAATTTAACTTTTTGTTAAAATTGCGTTATTGTTAATTTTTTGGACCTAATGATGGCTTGTTAATCGGGCTGAAAACGTTTGTTTTTCAATTATATTTCTCAGCAACAAATTAAAGTGTTTTATTTTCTGTTAATTTACATTACTCATACATAAAATGAACATAAATTCAACATACAGTAACTATTCTCTGATGTACAGTACATACGTATTGTACAGTACTGTACATCAGAGAATAGTTACTGTATGTTGGTTTTGTTTCCTATGTTACCTTTTGTTTTCTATATTTGCGTACAAATGATGNGCTATCTTTAAATCCCTTAAGACAAGGCTCAAGGAACACTAGCACTCAAATACTAAAAAAACAGGGGGTACTGCCTTGATCACCTATGCATTGGATGAAGACGAAGAAGTTTATTTTGATATACTCACCTACTGCATCAAAACGCATTACCATTATGTCTAAAATATCTCAAGACTGTTGAGATATACAATGCTATCACTAGAGGAACAGCTATCAACAACAGACACACAACACCTATGTCACATGCCTGCAAGCAGTATTTGAGTGCATTTAGTAACTATATAATATTTTATAAACTGTTTGGTCTTAGTACATCTATTGTTATTTAAGATTTTTTATCATCTACAGTTATTTAAAAGTTTTATATATGTTATATTTGTTCTTTTGTATTCATTTTAATTTATAATATATTACTGTGTTCATGCACATGCAAATTTCTTATGCAACAAAATTTTTTAAATTTGTTATTTGATTTTCATTCTAACAGTAGAATCTAATGATGGCCTTTTTCTAGGTTAAAACGTTTGTTTTTCAATAAATGTTTTTGTTCTTTTAAATGGATATTTTAACTGGTTTATTAGTGTTCTTATATTGCATACATCCGGTTTGAGGTAGTGTTTCCACTTTAAGTAAAACAATATTCCATATAAAAAAGAATAACCAGAATCTACATATACTATGTATTAGAGCTAAAGTTGCTTTTCTTTTTGGCATTTTTAATGTTTACAATGAAAACGATAGAAATTTTAACTTATAATTTAATGTAATGATAATGTTAGAAATATGTTTAACAGAACAGACTCAGCAAATAATTAATAGATTATCACATCACACTTAATGTTGCCAAGATATTTATTGAAAACGTTAGTTTGTTTTCAATAAATATCTCAGCAACATTAGGTGCAATGTGATAATCTGTTAGAAATATGTTTCAATAGTATTATGGGTGAAAATCGGATGGGTGGTAGCACTAGTCATTATATTATATTTGAAATTTTCTAGTTTAGCAAGCAAGAATTTAATTAAATTGAAAAATTGTTTATTTTAACATGAACTGATGCATCTTATGACTCGATTTATATTTTAATTGTTCTTTTTCTGTTGTCATATCCTCAATAAACAGTAGTAACAACTCTGGGCTATATTTTCCTATCTTTAGCCATTCTGAACAATTGAGCAGTTGTTATTCTAGTATCTTTCCTTAGAATTTGTAACAATGTCTTTTGGACATCTGTCTTCTTTTTCCTGACATGATTTAATAAAACTCACTATACAGAGAAAGATATTTTATCTTTCATTACATGTTAAAAATATGCTAGCATTTTATTCTTTGACTTACAATTTCTGATTCAGACATATTTAGTAAAAAATTAAACAGTTTTTACACTAAAATATTCTTAGCATATATTAACAGTACTATAGTTCAAATACAGGTAGGCCTCCTACAACATGGTAGATACGTTCCTTGAAAATACCGCGTTGTGGGAAATCGCGTTATAGGAGACACCAACTTAATACAAAAACTGGGATTCAGTTCTAAAAAGAGAAAAACTTGGCATTTGAATGGCATTTTTTGAAGTTTTCAAACCAGCCATTGCTAGCCACGAATTTAACACTGGTTTCATCAGCCAACGACTGTCCCATTTGTTTTAAATAATCAAATATTTTTAAGGCTTTGTGTTTAANGTTAATTTACATTACTCATACATAAAATGAACATAAATTCAACATACAGTAACTATTCTCTGATGTACAGTACATACGTATTGTACAGTACTGTACATCAGAGAATAGTTACTGTATGTTGGTTTTGTTTCCTATGTTACCTTTTGTTTTCTATATTTGCGTACAAATGATGTTAGAATTTAAAAAAAAGCTCGTGTTTCTTTTGTAAATTGCTTATGTTTTCGTTCCATTAAAGTTGTGGATCCTATCAAGCGTTTTTCTACGGGATGTATGTACCGTACTGTTTTACGTTAACGCGATGTTCTTTAGGACGTAACCACCGCGCAAAAAGAGGGATAAGTGTACAGTCATACGATATTTCGATATATCACCAATTTACGAAATAAGTTTAATTATTTTCGAGTTATAAATCTTGAAATATTTTGGAGACATACAGGGTGTTAGCGATAATACCGGCCAAATTTCGAGATGATTGAACATCAAAAAATAAGTGTTGAACATCAAAAAATCCTAAAACGCTTAGTTTTTTATGTAAAAAAGGGGCTAAAGAACTTTAAAAATGTCATTTTTTATGAGCATTCCCCATAATACACAAACCTTCCTGTAAAGCTTGACGAAAATTTAAGAACTATCATAAATTATATCTTCACATATATTTATTGAACTTTTAACTTAAATAATTACTATTATTAGCATTTTTATATCGTTGATAAATTTTGCAAATCATTTTAATACCGCTATGAAAGTCTTTGTACGTTTAAACAGATGTTCATTGCAATTTCAATATGCCACGCGCTGCGTTTCGGCCTAAAAATAGCGCGTAAATCAGCCTGGACTCTAGGAGCCTAAGGGCAAGCAACTGATTACGACTATGGTTGTCACGATGACGACTATGACGTGTATACAATGTCATCGTTATAACCGACTGTTCTGGTCGTCTGGGAAAAACCTATATATAATATATATTATATAGATACACATAAAGGAAGATGTTTGTTAGATATGTACTCCTAGACCGTTCGATCAATTGCTACGAAACTCATCAGTTACGTTAATATACTTATAACTTAGATAATGTCGTATATACCACTCTAAAATATTAATTAAATTTATATATAAAAAATATCATATTATTTTAATTATTGCGACAATGAATTAGCGCGAAATATTATTTTGTAGTTTAATAAAGTATATCATTACTTTGATGAAAGCATAGCACCCATCTGCGTGGAATTAAACGTGTTAAACTTTCGATTCCAAATATGCTTTCTTAATTCTAATTGTTTTTTCTATTGTAACTTTCTTAATACTTTCTTAATTCTAATAAGTGCCCACCAGTATCTAAATGAATAAAACCACCGAACTCTGTGATCGTAGATTCGCGTATTGCCAACAGACTGGCCACGTGGAGTTTTCAGGGTTTTCTTCACGTTAGTAACACCTAAATAGGAGGCAGTTTCCATAAAGTCCTACCGTAACCAAATAAATGAAACTTATTCTAATAATTTTTCTATAAACTCGCTATTTACGAGGACATACTTCTCACGTAGTTTGTCGGCATTCTGATAAAGTTCTTAAAATAGGTTTTACAACATACATTTTTGAAATTTACGATTAATAACGTACAAACTGTTATAAAAAGCAGCCGTACCATATTCTTTCTGGTAAAATTATCGTCTTAAACAATTAGTATACGTTTTATTTTATTTTAGAGTGTATTACAAAGGACAACAAGAAATAGTGAAAAAGTTGTGAAATATGTAGCTTATTAAATGTACGTCATTAGTGAAACAAAATTTTAAAAAAATTGAAAATATCACGTAAAATTTTTTACATCATTTATAGAATTTAGAAGAACTTTGCAGTTTTAAAAGAACTACATTTTTTAATTTTACTAAAAATCCCATAGAAAAATACACTTGGCTTTAACGAAAAGTGCTTTGCAGCATTAGGTAAATTCATGAATTCAAAGTAGAATTCAGTTACAGATGTTTAATTTTGATTATTTTTTCCAAACAAGTTTTTAAACCATTAAATCATTCCATTAATTATTTTTAAACCGCTGTCTTGGTTTATACTCACCGTCCCAACTGTACCAAACATCCTCTAATCCATTTTCCTTTGTGTGAGAAAATCTTAGAAATATTCTAAGAAAAACTTTTCTATCATCCTCACACTTTCTATCCTTACAGTATAGTGTCGTGCACATTTGGAAACCATTAAACGCAATGTTTCTTCTTACCTGTTTTAATAGAGGAAACAGAAAGGTTTGACAGTAACCCAAACCTAGCCTAGGTTCACTATTAGATCAGTGCCAAGGAGGTTATAGAAGAAATGACACGTGTAAACGGTTTTATTCCTTTATTTTGCACAAAATGCATTTAAAAAATCTAGCAACGAGTTGCGTGACTTTCTCGGCTGTTATGAGGTTTTGTTTTAAATAGGATAGATTGAAAATCACGATCATGATTGGAACGGAGGAATTAACACTTAGACAAAACTTAAAGCAATTTATACCAAAGATAAATACTTAAATCTCCTAATTCTAATTACTTTTGCAATTTCTTCTTGTATTGGCATATTTTAATTTCTTATTATAATATTCAATCTAACGGAAGCACGCAGCTCTTCGCTTGCCTTCGTCATTTCCAGACGAATGACAACCCAGAACTCACCACGTGGAGGTGGCTGCTTTAGAGTTTCACCAAGAGTTAGAAAAAATGAAACTCCACACGTGATTAACATCATTTGTCGAGTTTCATTCGTCCTAA